CCTCCGGTGTGGCCGATCCGGAGTCCCCCACCTGCAGATCTTCGATGTTGACCTCTGCGGTCGTCGAGATCGGGATCACGGGGAGGACGGCCAAGTTTCCTTCCAGATCTTCCGCTGAGAAATCGCCGCTGTCATGGTAGTATATCTCCCCTCGTCCTCGGCATCCTGTGAGGTGGTCGCTGCGGGTCCTTCTGCCGACAGATCTGTACATCCAAGTGTAGAGAATCGGGTGTACACATGCAGTCTCTTTCCCGCCAGCTGGGCGTAACCCACCTTGAGTAGCAGCAACAAAGTTAGGGCTTCCTTCTCCGCCGAGTGATAGTTCATCTCGGCGTCCTTGAGGACTCGTCAGCAAAAGCGGACAGGATGTAGTTTGTCGTCGTGCATCTGTATCAAGGCTGCACTCAGCGCCCACTCGTTGGCGTACAGCATGATGTGTACCTCCTTCTTCGCGTCAAAATGTCGTAGGATAGGAGCGTCAGCTACTTTTCGTTGGAGCGCAGAAAAGCTCTCTTTGGCTGCAACCAAGCCACCTCCATCGAAGAAATCGTCTTCTTTCAACTGATATAGCGCGGCTCCATAGCCGGCGAAGTCTTGGATGAGGTGACTGTAGTAGTTGAGAGAACCGAGGAACTGTTGCATTCCTTTCTTCGACTTGGGGAACGGCAACTTGGTAATAGCTGTCATCTTCTTGAGTCAGCCCGTATTCCTTCAGGCGACACCTCGTGAGAGAGGAAGTCGAATTTGGACTGGCAAAAGATGCTTTTAGTAAAGCTTACACTGATCCTGCATTCCTCAAACCGTGCCCGTAACTTGTCCAGGGTACCCAAGCAGTCGTCAAAAGTAGTACCATCAAAACAAATGTCGTCTACGAAGGATCGACGCTGGACCACTGGGACTAGCGACGATTCATCCGGTTCATTAGTCGCGAACATGTCTGCATATGGATCGTTTACCATTCGCAACAATGGGTCCGACGATGCCTGTCGATCAGCCTCAAACTTAGTCCGAGTCGTCGTCAGGGTAAAATCTGAGTCGTCGTCGAGTGATCGTTGGTGTTTGGCTGCTTC